TCCATCCATTCCTCCATCCATCCATTCCTCTATCTATTCATCCATTCCTCTATCCATCCTTCCAACCCTCTATCCATCCATCCATTCTTCTACCCGTCCTTCCATCCCTCTGTCCATCTGTCCATCCCTCCATCCATCCCTCCATCTATCCATCCATCCCTCTATCCATCCATTCCTCTATTCATCCATCCATCCCTCCCTCCATCCACCCATCTATTCCTCCATCCATCCATTTTTCTATCCATCTGTCCATCCCTCTATCCATCTGTCCATTCCTCTATCCATCCATTCCTCTATCCATCCATCCATTCCTCTCTCCATCCGTCCGTTCCTCTGTCCATCCGTCCACCTACCCATTCATCCAGCCAGCCATCCTTCCTTCCATCTATCCATACAACTGTCCATTCACTCAGATTCATCTGGCCAGCTGGCCTCCAATCATCCCATCCTCCCATCCTCCTGTCTGTCCTTCCATTCACTCTTTTATCCATTCCCTCATCTACCATACACCTGTCTACACGTTCAATTCCCATCATCTACTCCCCTCACCTCATAGACCCTCGGTCACCGTCCTAGTCACATGTCCCTTCCTCATTTACCCTCCCTCCCCCTCTGCTCATCCACTCATCCATCCGTTCCTCTACCACTCCGCCCATCCTCTCACCCATTCATCCGCAAGCCTCCCATGCCCCCACCTCCCCACTTACCCTTCCCCCTGTCTAGCCACCCACCTCCCATCCATTTGTGCCCCCTTGTATTTTTCCATCCTCATCCCCCTCTGTCAGGGTTTCATCCCGGCCCTGACTTTCCTAATCCCTTATCCAGGTCGCTGGTATTTTCTGGCCTGGGCACTGGTGGTGTCACCTGGTTCTGGGGTGTGGTCACTCCCCGGGTGGTGCCAGCATCATCCTGTCTTATGGCTAAAGCAGCTCTGGGGGCGGGCAGAATGCATGGCAAGAAGCAGTCTCTGAGGACGACGGCGAGGGACTTGCTGGGGTGTTGGGGGGCATGAGGATCTGCCCGGCAGGTGGTACTTTCCAGGTGAGCTGAGGCGAGGCCATGATGGCCTCAGCCAGCAGTGAGGGCCAGGGTCAGTGCCACACTTCCTGCCTGTCCCTGGGCCTCCCAAGTCTTAGCAGGAGCATGTTCGGTGCCTACCCCACCCCCAAAGCCCAGCAGGGGAAAATATCTTTGAAACCCTGTGGTTGATCTTAAAAATTCATGCACGTTTTGCCTTCCGTGACACCACATATTTATTGTTTTAATATAAAAATAGCATTTTGAGTTACCATCTGGAAAGCTGCCCTCTGGGGGCTGGGCGTGGGTCACCTGTATTGGCACGTGCTCCTGAGCACAGGCCCAGGGAAGCCATGGCGTGGGGGGACGTGACTTCCTGCTCTGCGGAGATGTCCCCCGGCCCTGGAGGTGCCGAGGCTGAAAACTCTGTGGCTTTGGGACCAGCAGTTAGCGTAATGGCTATGTCGCTGGACTCCCGTGTAGTCAACTGCAGTTCGCGTCCCAGACCCGGTGGCTTAAAACTCACGCTGGGCATGTGTGTGTGCGTGCCCAAGATCCAGAGAGGAGAATGGAGGAGAAGGGATTGTGGCGTGGCCATCCCCCCTGGGGGGTGATTTCTCGCTTTCTGTCCCTCTTGTCTGTCTGGCGAGCGCACGCGCCCTATAGCAAAAACCTCTCAAAAAAACCCCAAACAACTTTGTAGCTTTCTGCCCCCACCACGGGCAGAAGGAGGGTGCTTCCTGTAGCAGGGTCCCAGCACCCAGGCCCTGCATCTCCATGAGCAGCTGCTGGGACTCTAACCCCTCGGGGTGGGTGGTGCTTGGGGCGTCACCCAGGAGACGCTGTCATTGTGCTCCCATTGAGCCAAATCAGGCAGTGGGAGGTCAGTGTAGGGTTTGGACACCTTCTCATGGTGGCCTCTGAATTCTGGGCCCCCAGCCAGCTTCCAGCTGGAGCCATTGGCCCTTTAGGGTGGATGTCCTCTGACCCCAGAGTGGAAGCATGTTAGGGGGAGGTGCTCAGGGCAGGGAGGCTGTCCCAGGGTCTGCAGCCCTGGCCTGGCCTAGGGGTGGGGGTTTAGTACAGACGAAGCCTGAGTGGGGCAGGTGGTGTGGTCTTGCACAGGAGAGGAGCCACCTCCTGTCCACATGGCCAGCAGCTGCCCTGTGGGTCCTGATTGTCACCATCCAGAGCCGGCCCCCACCCACGC